CTTTGCTGCATACACTACTTGTACCTTCACTAAAGCATGCCAAGCTATTGAGCAATTAAACTGTTGTGTACTATTGTATCTGAAGTTTTGTCTTATTCAGGATATTCTCACGAAGGAGATAATTGGTCATGGTACTAAGAGGGGGGATCTCTATTTTGTGGACGATGTCAGTACAGGATGGGTCAATCTTGCCCAAGGAGCCGTTAATCACAAACGGCATCAGATATGGTTATGGCATCGCAGTTTGGGTCATCCGTCTTTCAGTTATTTATAGCATATGTTTCCGGATTTATCTGTTGGTTGTTCAGTTTCAAACTTTATATGTGACACTTGCGTACTTGGCAAGAGTCACCGTGTTTCTTATCTGTTGAATTCTAAAAAAAGTGCTATCTTTTTGGTCTTGTTCATTCGGATGTTTAGGGACCATCTCCGATTACTACTTCATCTGGTATTAGGTGGTTTGTAACATTCATAGATGATTGCACACGGATGACATGGTTATACCTTCTTAAGCATAAAAGTGATGTGTTTTTGGCGTTCAAGACATTCCACACCATGGTTCAGACACATTTTTCTACTAAAATCCAGATTTTGCGTTCTGATAATGGTGGTGAATATGTTAATAATGATTTTACACATTATTTAACTGATCACGGAATACTCCACAAGACTACTTGTCCTCAGACTCCTCACGGAATACTCCATCTATTAGAAACGGCTCGATAGTTATTGATTGCAGCGGATGTTCCCTGCTCCTCTTGGGATGTTGCTCTTCAGACTGCCACTTACCTTATCAACTGCATGCCATCCAAAGTATTGAATTTGCTTACACCTTTGCAAGTTCTTGCTACAATTGTGCATCTATCGTTCGTTTTGGTGCTCCCACTGCGAGTTTTTGGATGTGTTGCCTTTGTTCATCTACATAAAAATCAACGGAAAAAACTTGACCCATATGCTCTCCGTTGTGTTTTCATGGGGTATGGACTACATCAAAAAGGGTACCGTTGCTACCATCCTCGTCTTTCACGTCGGATGTATACTACCATGGATGTTACTTTTTCTGAGTCTGAGATGTATTACTCTCCGGCTTCTTCCAACCCCCCTCTTCAGGGGGAGACACTACATGACGAACAGGTTTGGACCATGGCTACTACCACTGATCTTCCGCTGCCACTGTTAGCTGAGCCAGTAGTCGAGCCCGCAATGGCTACGATGCCAGCCCAGCCAACAAAAGCAGCATCGCTGCCCACAGAACTAGCGGCAAACATGGTAATATCGTCCTCACCCATAGCAATAGTGTTGCCACTTGTTGATCTTGAGACTTCTACTGATACTACTCCCCTTTCGTCTCAAAATATAGTACCGCCAGATGACCATACCCCAGAGAATATTTCTGAGGTAAGATCTACTATCCCTATTGATGTATTCGATGTTTCGAATTATCAGTTACCTTTCAGGCACAACCGGGGAAAGCCACCCAATTGATATTCACCGGAAACAACAAAAGGCTTTAAATATCCCATTGCTAACTATGTGTCATCACATAAATTATCAGAACTCGACAAAGCTTTTGTACAACAAATATCCAATGATAGCACACCAAGTTCATTGGAGGAGGCACAATCTGATGATCGATGGATCAAGGCAATGGAGGAAGAAATGGATGCACTTCAGAAAAATCAAACATGGGATTTAGTTCTGCTACCTCGAGGAAAGAAGAAAGTGAGATGTCGATGGGTGTACACCATCAAGTACAAAGCTGATAGGTCGATTGAACGATACAAAGCACGATTGGTGGCCAAGGGATACACTATACGTATGGTGTTGATTATATAGAAACATTTGCTCTGGTAGCAAAGATTAATACAGTAAGAGTGTTACTTTCATTGGCGGCTAACTTGGATTGGCCATTATAGCAATTTGATGTGAAAAATGCTTTCTTACATGGTAATCTTAAAGAAGAAGTGTATATGGATATTCCACCTAGTTATGCATCGGTTTCACAACCCGGAATGGTGTGTAAGTTGAATAAGGCATTGTATGGATTGAATCAATCACCTCCGGCATGGTTTGGTAGGTTCCGGACGGCTATGAGGAAGTATGGGTTCTAGCAGAGCAATTCCGATCATACACTTTTCTTGAAACGTCGAATGGGTAAATTGATGGCACTTATTATTTATGTGGATGATATGATTGTTACAGGTGATGATAAAGAGGAAATCTCAAACTTGAAAGATTATTTAGCAACTGAGTTCGAGATGAAAGATCTTGGTGGATTGAAATATTTTTTGGGTATAGAAGTAGTTCGATCGAAACAGGGTATATTTCTATCTCAAAGAAAATATGTTCTTGACTTGTTAGCCGAAACCAGAATGCTTGATTGTAAACCGGTTGACACCCCTATAGTCCAAAATCACCCTCTTGCCGTGCACCCTGATCAAGTTCCCACTAACCGAGGCCATTATCAAAGGTTAGTTGGGAGGTTAATTTATTTATCTCATACCAGGCCTGATATTGCATATACAGTAAGTGTTATTAGTCAATTTATGCATTCCCTGAGTGATACGCATATGGGTGCGGTTGAACGCATTCTAAGATACCTAAAGTCCACCCCGGGTAGAGGCATCATGTTTTCTAGGAATGGTCTTTGCCGGATAGAAGGTTATACCGATGTAGATTAGGCAAGGAATATTACTGATCAACGGTCCACATCGGGTTACTTTACATTTGTGGGGGGAAATTTAGTGACTTGATGGAGTAAGAAACAAAAAGTGGTTGCTTTATCAAGTGCATAGGCGGAATACAGAGGTTTGGCAAAAGGAATATGTGAATTATTATGGCTTCGGAGGTTACTCGAAGAACTGGGGTGTCCTTCAATGTTGGCTTCGAATTTGTTTTGTGATAATAAAGCAACGATTGATATCTCACACAACCCAATCCAACATGATCGCACGAAACATGTGGAAGTTGACAGACACTTCATTAAGGAGAAGTTGGATGGAAATATTATTCAATTCCCGTTCGTAAAGTCAGAGGATCAATTAGCGGACATCATAACTAAAGTTGTTGCCAATCAAACGCTCTACAACTCTCTCATCAAGTTGGGCATGAACGACATTTATGCACCAACTTGAGGGGTAGTGTTGGAGAGTTGACTTTTGTAATTAGCTTAGTTACCTGTTTGGGTCCTTGTAATTAGGATGTAATTAGGATAGATATTATTTGGTGTTTCTTTCCTTGTAAATCAATCTTGTACAATATATATTTCCCTATCAGAAAATTAAACCCCAAAACAAGCCCTAATTAGCATAAGAGGATATGAGGGTTTGCCGTTCAAAAAAGAGGAACGACTTACACTCGCTTCTCTGTGTTTCAAATTGAAGATGACTAAAAACTATAGTCATTGGGGACCCTCCAATCTATGGTAAAGTTGGACGATGTTCTTTATGTAGAAATGTATGAAAGAACCATGAACATAAGTCATGTGCAAAGCGTGTGATTTATTTTGGACGGAAAACTTAATTGAGTTAGGGTGAAATGACTTAGTATGACAAATCACATAAAATTTTAGTTATATGAATAAAAGTGTACAAGTTCATATGACATTTCAAAAATTATCCTTCAATTCAGTGAAAGTACACAACACAATTAATACAAATCTAAACACAAAGCTAGCAGAAAAGACAATAGTCCAATAAATTATCTTTTCTTGACCAATATTGTTGATTCTCTGATAGATTAGTTCTTTCAACCTTCAACTAATTAACACGTTCTTTCATTTCTATACGCATCATTCACCAATTGCCAAGCAACTTCGTACATACATATTCATTCCGCACACATATATATTTACCAATTGCAACTTAATTATTAACACATACTTCCTTTACATCACATTCATCAACTTAAAACATTGGTCTTCGTTCTCCAATTTAACATGAAGATGGACAAGTGGTCTTTATTAAGCCGCCTTAGGAAGGCCGTGAAGAAGGTAAGCTTACTACTGAACCTCAACGTGAATCGCTGGCGAATCGCTTCGGTGATCGGCCGTACTATTTCTGGCAACCACCGGTTGATGAGCTTCAATGACCGCCCGGGGCTGAGAGCGGCTTGTACCGATGAGAACAGCTCCGAGGAGGACTCGGGGTCTTCTAGGGGACATCTTCAGAGGAACATAAGCTATCCATCGGATCAAGATGATATTGACCAAAGAGCAGAGATGTTCATAGCGAATTTCCGCCGCCAACTTCAGGTGGAGAGGCAAATTTCGTTGGAGCTTCGGTATTGCAGAGAAAATAGTTTTGACTTGAAGTCTCCTTGATCACTCTGATTGGTGTTAATGGTGGAGCTAGGCAGTGAATTTTTTCCATGAAGGTCTCCATTGAAATTTTATGATCCTGATAGGTGTATGTTTTATTTTTTTTTATTTTTTCATTTTTATTTCCTCTTTTTTATTTTGGGGTCAAGGACAAACAGCATACATTTTTTGATACTTTTATTTATGTAAACTTATGTCGCTTTATTTTCATTCTTTGTAATATTTATTCTTTGAACTTAGGAGAACTTTTCTAAGGCATTGTTTGGGGATGATATTTGGGATTGTTTTGTAAATTGTCCTTATCTTTTAGCTGGATACATAGATATTGTGGCTGATATCAAGTTTGTCATTATAGTTTTTGTTCATATTTGGGAGAAAATTTTAAATTTGGATCTAAGGTAGATTATTAATGTAATTACAACCTTATTATTTTCACAAATTGGAGCTCAGATGAATTTATCTTGCAGAAACAGTTTTGCTTAATTAATCGGAAACCATTACTAGACATGTCGATACTAATTAACTGAAAAATACAAAATCCAAGAAACTGAAAAAACCACGGACAATTTGGGGAATCAACGCAACCTATGTGTTCCCAGGAAAAGACAGGACAACGAGTGAATTATTAAATATAGGTTGCTATTACAACAAACAATGTGTTGCACCAAGTCTTGAATCGCGCTTAATGAGATTGATTGGGATTGGGATTGGGATTGGATACGGCTGCTGCAGAAGTGGAGGCAGTACCGTTGTCAAAGCGACTGCCTTGTGTGAGCCTGAGATTACTGCTTACATGATCCGCGACACGCTTAAAGGAATCATGCATTTGCTTGAGTCCTTGCAAGTCAAGATCCTTTATAGGAGCTTGCCACCAGACTTTCTGTTCGCCGCTTCCCCTTTGTTCTTCCAATTGTCGGAGCGCCTTGCGGCACTCTTTCACTACGTCAAGGTGCTCTACCAACTCATTATAGTTCTCGATGGTCTGGAGTATTTTTTCCTGCCGGTAGGCCTCGAGAATAGGCTCCTGCTGGTTATGTAAAAACCGGTTCAATACATAATCAATAGAGGGATTACCGAAGGAATGAGGTTTTCCCATTGGCGAAAACACTAGAATGCCTACTTGTGCACCGCATAACGCCCCTAACTCAGTAGCCTTTTTGTATATTCCTGATCGGCGTTTCGAAAAGACAACTAGACGATCATCTTCCTTTTCTATCGTCTTCATCTCAGTCTTTTGCCTGCCTCTGTTCGTCTTGGCTTCCATAGTTTCCCAAGGTTTTCAACTGATGGACAAAACTCAAGGAAGAGCAAAACAAAAGCTACGTACAAGTAACTGGGCCTTTTCCTTGGCTTTCTTTACCTTGATTGGAGATTTTTTCTAGAGAAAGAAATTGAATCCGAAGCTAATACATTGTATTAGTTGACTATATTAGGTAATATATTTTGTCAATGTAAGTTGTCATTTCCATTTTACACGGACAACCAAATCTAAGTAGAACAAACCATTTGTGTTTGGCACTATGCATTTGCAGTGCATGCATATATATCTTATAGTGTGGCGTGGTGCTGTGTGATGTGGGTTTGCATTGCAGTAAACTTCAAAACAAATGACCACGGCTGAGAAAAGAATCTCTCACCCTTGAGTTCTATGGCCCGAAGGCAAGGCTGTTTAAATTACTGTGAAGCTCTCGATCTTGGTTGTTGGGTTTCGCGTCAGAGATAATATTGTTAAAGACGTAAGTTTGCCTAACTAAACACAAGCTATCAGACAGAGATCTAGACTCCTCCAATTAAAGATCCATCCCTCATGGATTCTATCCTGCCGATTGTGGAGCTAAAAATAATTAAGAAAATTATGGAGCCAACACGTGCACTTTTTGGTAAAAAGGAAAAAAATTACCCTTGAGACACACCAGGATTCTCACACACATGCAACAGACAATAAGGCTCAATCAAGGAAGAGTCAAAGGTGATCAAAATGGTATCTATTCAAAACCCTTTCTTCACTGCTCATCAAATCCTCACTCAAAAGGTAACTCCCAATTTTCCTATTCAATTTGGGATTCATTGCCAAGTTAATTGCAAGATATTATTTCACATAATATCTTACAATTACACTCACAATTTGACCATATGTGGCCTGGCTCTATTCTCCAAATAGGGCCTGTCACTCCCCTATAAATAGCCATGTTTTCCCACTAAAATACTAGGTCATTCCCTACCCACAAATTCATAAACACATTCTTTTCAGAATTCTAACTTTTGGCATCGGAGATTCTTCTGCCAAAGCCCCCCCCCAATTCATCGTGGGCGCGTGAGGCTTTTGGCCTTAATCTTAGGTGTTTGCATTTTCGTCAAAGGAAAATATGGCAGAAATTTGCATCCACAAATTGGTGCTTTCATTGAGAGTTTGATTCACATGCTCGAAGAAGACTCTCGCATTCAAAGTTTCGCATTTCTCATTCGTTCGTAAATTTTTCATACTTTCTTATTCCTAGAATTTTTTTAATTCTTTGAATAGAGGTAAGGGAAAAATACAATGACGGGAAATTCGGAAACCACAATCAACGGAACTTCCAACGTTTAAAGATTTGGATCAAATGATGGAAGATGAGACGTAGCCCCACCACAACGATCCACGAGGCTTAACACAATGGCAAGAAGAGCAACTTTGCCACTACGGAGCACTACCTATGGCAGCCATGGGGACCACTGTGGTAGTGAGGAGTGGGCCAGCTCTATGGCAGCTGGACCATTAGGCCACAACCCAAGAGGCGCAAGCCGTGGAGGTAGCCCAGCTTGCTGCCACTTTAGTAGCCCAAGCCCACGTGATTTTGCGTCGCTAACCCCAGGCCCGCACAGCACAACAGCCAACGCAAGCTACGCCGAAAAGAGATGAGGCCTAGCGCACGCGCTCTTCCGTGGCTCATCCGATGCTAGAGGTCTGGCCCGCTCCCATAACCTGACCCGTTTTCGCAGTCTAGCCCATTCCCATGGCACAACCCATTCCCGTGGCACACCAAGCAATCCTAAACAATCCAAGATCAGTTCAACTATCCTGGCTTCAGATTTATGGACTGACGATTGAATCGGGGGTATTTTTACCCCATTTTTTCCGCAGATTTGACATATCCCAACTCAAATCTCGCACTCAGAGTCCATTACACTTTCACTACTGAAGGAGACGTATATCGTCCAAGCTCTTCCACCCCAAATGGCAAAGAACATTTGTCTCAACCAGTTATAGAGTTGACAAATGCCTTTGCGCAGCAGACTACCTTGGTGAATCAGCTTTTGCAGCATACCGAGACGCAACATGCCCCAGACAAGGTGTCTTGAAATAGGACAAGGGTAGATGACGAACTTCTCCAGCAGCGTCTCGGCAAGCAGTCACTCGACCAGTCACAAACCGAGCGTTCTAACAATGTACACTCTCAACTGGGCCCCCAAGATAGTGTATACTCTCGTCTTAGCGCGCGGAGGAGCATGCACTTTTGGTTAGGCCCATAGACGAACATACATTCATGGTTGTGGCCACGTTCTGATAATCAACATGAGTAACCTTCCAGGCGAAGAGTTTATTCGTGGCTTTGCCTGCAAGGAGCATCATCTACCTCGTATCGGAGTAGGCAACATGACGGACGAAGAAAAGCAGTCACTCAATCCGGCACAAGTTCAACCGGCAGCCTGCTAGTAATTTGCTTGCCTGCTAAGAACGTACCACATGTACGACAACCATGACATAGATGACCTGAGCACATGGAAGAGAAGCCTAGCTCAACAAATCACGAACGAGGGCAGTCGGAAACTCCACTACCCCACTAGAGGAAAATTCAAGAAAAAGTTGAGAGGCTCATGACCGAACAATTACGCGATTTCTAGCGCAACGAAGCTACTGGCGAGGCGTTCCAATGAGACATAACCAACATAAGCGGGTCAACTTTCGTTGACAAGATCAAGCAGACGAGACTATCCCACATAGATTGTTAGATACAAAGATTACTTATGTTCTAACAAACGCAGCTGCTTAGCCTAATGGCGCGCCGAGGGTAAATAAGTATGAGAAAGACACACCAGCCTAACTACCAAGAACTGGGGGCAGGTGATGCTAACTAAGTAAGCACACAAATTAAAACCCTCTTGTGACAATTGTAGTATATAAATAAGTATGGATCGTTCTTAACCGGGGATTAGGAAGGATTGCAAAATCACTTGGAAACTGACTCAAAAACGTAAAATAAAGTTTGAAACACTAAACTAGACTCAAAGAATGCAAAACTAACAATAAAAACACTCAAACAAATCAAAAGACTCAAAGAATACAAAACACTTATAAACACAAATTAAGACACTTTCTAACTAAATTAGACACTAAGGTAAAAGGGGATTGTGGTTTTGACGAAAATAAATTAAATGCACAGATTGTAAATTTAAGGCAGAATGTAAATATGAATGTGATGAAAATATGGAATGAATGCTAGCTAGAAGGTTCTTCTCCACACATGTTACACTTGCATACAAAATGATTCTCAGTTGGTCTTTCGATAAATTATGAAACTCAACACCCCAGGTTAATTAGGTCCGCTTAAATTAATCGTCAAGTTCTCCTTAAGTTAATGAATTGGATGGGTTAGCGCAACGCAATTCAAAACATTCTCCAAAAGTCCTTTACGTGAAAAGCACAATAAAGATACAATCAAAGATCATTAAGCATCATGAAAACTATAAGTGTTGACGAGGCATTCGTTACTATGATGAGCATGAAACTAGTGCCAAGAATTCATTTAACGCGATTGTTTATAAGCAACCTCCACTACTTGTGAATATAAGTTCATAACTATTAGGTGAAATTCACTTATACTCTAGCATCATATTCATGCATGAAAATTAAGCGTGCACTCTCAATCAACATACATAAATAAGTTATCGAACAAGCAGTTAAACAAATTGAATTCACCATTCATGAAATTCCAACCAAAAATAATCAATTCATATTGCAAGCATAAACATGGTTTCGAATCACCCCCTAGCTAACTAGGGGGATTTAGCCTCTCATGTTCACAACAAGAAAAATAAAATTGAATTTAAACATAAAGAACAAAGGATGGATTACACCTAGAACGCCCAACGAATCCACTTGAATTTCTGCGCGTCTAAATCCTCTTTCCTCTTTTCCTTGCTGCGACAGTGAGGTTAAATGGTGTTTTTGGTTGATTTTCTGGTTTGGGAATGGGTTTAGGGTAGTGTGGTGGTGCGGCAAGGTGGTGGAGTGATGTATGGAGGTGTGTAAGGTGGTGGAGAGTGGTGGAGAGTCTGCGGCAATAATGGGAATTGGCTGCAATGGCTGGGGAAAGGCACGGATGGTGGAGAAAAATGGGAGAAAAATGTAAAAAGGTGGCTGCCCTGGAAGGGAAAAGGTGCGGCTGTTATGAATGAAATGGGAGAATTAGCATAAATATGCCACGGCTTAGGGTTAAAATTAGGTTGAAAAATATCTTGGAATGCACGGCTTAGAAGAAAATCTGGAATAAATGGGAAAAATGGGGGGGGCCACGGCTGAAATGGAATGGTTTAAATGTGGAAGTGGCTGCGGCTGTTTGTGATAATGGGAGAATGGTGTGAATAATGGGAAAGAATGAATAAAAAATGATATGGTGTATGAATGTGTGACGGCTTATGGGATTTTTGGGTGCATAGTGAATTAGGTTGAATGGATACGGTTTATGGCATAATAATTAAAATGGGATGGTGGCTGCATGATGTGAGAAAAAGGATGGGGTTTTGCGGCTAGGGTTATTAGAGTGATTAGGGTTTAGGGTTTAATGCATGAAATGAGACAAAACTACCCCCCCTTGCACGGCAAGGGAAGGGAAATAGGGCTAGGGCCTTGGTTTTGTGTCCTAAAGTGCCTATAAGGCCGTCAAAGTGGCTAGAAAATACGGACATTTAAGTTTAGGAAAGGTTACCAAAACGGGAAACTTAGGGTTAACTTTCCTAAAATAGGAAGCCTTGTTTGAGTAGGATTCCTCGTTTTGGTAAGAATTCATCGTTGGAGTGTGATTTCATCGTTTCTTCAAGTCTTCAACTCATTCGTTCCTCTTTCGCTCCAAAAGACTCCAATTTGCATCTTCTTGCACACTTTGGCCTTATAATTTGAAAATACACAAAAGTGGCCTTAAACACTAAAACAACTAAGTAAACACAACATAAATGCACGAGAACAAGCTAATTAAGTCGCATGAATATGCTCCTATCAGCAGGTCT